ATAATACGTGCGAGACCAGACATTGAATCATTGTGGCGAAGAGCGTTCAATCATTACGCGGGCCATGTCGCTCAAAGTGCCATCGCAGACATTCGGAACACTCATTTTGACTTAAGACATTTGTTTCGCAAATTATTGCCATCAGTAGTGCTCCCACTGGAATTAAACATGACCGCTCGTGACGCGGTGGTCGATCGGACCGGTATATGGTCGCATATTTGCAGGAGACTGTTTAGGTGAAATTATCACATAAGCCAAGCATACTAGCATCCCCCCACTTTCCTAAACATTTTGTGTGAGACCGTATTATTTTGTTCAATATTTCGGATATATTGAGTGACTGTTTTTGGCAGATTAAACTAAGGTATCCTATAACAACAAGCGCACATTGTCAAATAACCTGAATGATTTTCACAAAAGTCGTTATGTAGTTAGTGAATTTAAAAGAATTCTAATTTTATTTATGGCCTTTCGGGACATACATTCCAACTGCGTTGTGAAAGCCACGTTGTAATGAAGTTGGAACCGTTAACGTAAATGATTTTAGCGCCCATTTCTTAGAGCAAGTGAGGCAAGCCAGCACGGTGCTCGTTATTTTCACCACCTTTTCCAAAGTGAATCTTTCGATCGAGCGGGAGTTTGCCCCTTATAGGCTACATCATCGTAACATTCCGCGGCTCATTCCACTTTCGGAAGTAGCGAAAACATCCGCCTACTAGCCTGCACGGTTAATTTTGATGGCAAAAATGAGCGATGATCACCTCTGCATTGCGAAAGAGTGGGCACACGGCTGCCGCAACAGAAGGCGATACTCGACCGCGGAGCGAGAGTCTCCTTGCCGTGACGTCACATCGCCGCAACCGCAGCGACGTCAGTGTTCGTTCTCGGGGCTCATCGCCTAGCTGCGTGGCCTCCGCGATCGGCTGCCGGCGGCGCGCCGCCGGCAGCCCATCGCGGAGGCCACGCTAGCTGGCTATAGTGGCGGGACCGAATGCGCGACATGCCTATGTAATCGCGCCAGCGGTTACGACAGTGACAAAAGACAACTAATTGGATAAAAATGTTAAAAAACACACATAGTCCAGTAAGGCAAAACACAATAGCAGACAAAGTAACCACTTATACAATTGTAACACTTGAAAACTATTCATAAAGCGCTTTATAGCTATAGATAAATTCGCCTCTCCCACATCAGTAGGATGCCATACCGACTGTGACTGGAAGCCCACGGCAAGTTATCGATTCGTCCACTTTTTTTTTTCTTCGCATTGACATCGCATTACAATATCACATGCCTTATGATTTCTTTGGCAGTGTTGTCTGCTAGTTCTAATTGACGTTGTGTCTAACGAAGTAAAACGAGCACTTAAAATTATCACTTATTGCTACCATTAGTACGAGCTACTGCTACTAACTTCTACTGTTACCACTATAGTGAGATATGACTTAACAAGTCAAGGGAGGCCCCACCGAGACGACCGAAGCGCGGCAGCCGATCACCTCAGTGACCAAAGAAATAGTCCCGCTCATTCTCTCGGCATGGTTCTCTGCAGGCGGTGTTAACGGTCGTTGGCTTATAACGCCAGTTCAGTGTACACGCCCATTGGTGCAAGCTCGAGTGAATCCGGCTTGAATGTAGAAATGCCACTGGCTTCTAAAGTTGTAACCGACTATAGTACTAGGCTACTGTTACTAACTACTACTGGTACAAGCTACTACTACTGCTGTTACAACTGCTATCACTAGTAGAAGCTGCTGCTGTGACTACTACTACTACTACTACTACTACTACTTTCATATTTGCCTCTCTCTATTAGTACACACTCTCTCTCTCTCTACTACTACTAGTCTCTACTATTACTACTAGTACACTCATCTCTGGCTCTCTCCACTACTACTAGTACATTTACTACAAACGTGACCGATTTTATGTGGCGATGTGGCGGCTCTACCATCGGAATAGGCACAGCGTCAGCCTCCTTTCCCAACAATGCTTTGTGACACTAAACGTGGGAAGTGCGTAGTAGCCAAGTCATTTGCCTGTCGCATCGCTTTTCTCCGCGAGGACTTCTAGACATCTTGCCGCAAATCGGCGCGACATAAAACGGGGGGTGTCGCACACATGGTCACCGGTTCACTGACTGACTGATGTGCGGCACGTGACTTTCCCGCGCAAAACTGGGCCAAGACGGGCTGCCGCCAATGCACGTCACGCGAGACTAGAACTTAAAAATTTGAAAACGGCAAAGTATTTGATTTGTTCGGCAACGCGAAAAGACTCCCGTATTCTCGGGGAAAGCCCATTTATTATTAGGCCTGTGTTGGCTATGGTGCTTGTGGTGGTAGTCTCTTTCACCCTCTCCCGTTTCACGACATTTAAATGCATCTATATATATCTTGCCCCTAGAGACGCGACTCTTCGTTCTCTCAGTGACTTCATCAGTGTGTTTCCCTATTTTGTTTGTGTTGACAACTTCAGCCTTCTGATCTAGCCGGGCTCCTCCGTGACGCCGAAAGCCAGAACGCAATCTTGGCGCTTCATCGAAGCGTGGATTAACAAACGCCGCCGGCTTCCGACAAGCCAGGCGCGAAAAAGAACGCCGCAAATACATCCTCGTTTGTACTTCTCTGCAGCGCTGCAAGACGGCGCGCAAGTTCCCTTTCCCACTGACAGAGACCATTCGTTCTGTTTTCATTTATTTTTACGGTCTACGTTTTTTTCATTACGATTCTCGTACTGTAACTCCAGCTTCTCGCTATCACCAGTTCGTGTCATTCTTTTGCCTTTTTATGTCTGTGTTCCCCTCTTGCCTTCTTTTTTTTTTTCATCACTGCCCGCTGTTACTTGTGAAACATTTTTTGCCCACAATCTGCAGCTTCCTCACACGTTTCCTTTCAAACCGTCTCAACATCTTTGTCACATACGCACATTTATTTACTTTCCGTTTAACAGAATTTCTTGTTGATGTTTTTTTTTACGACTCCTTCCTGCCTGACCGAAACAAGCACACTTTCCTCTTCGGCCAAAAGTATAAATAAAACTAAAATATAGTTCAGCTGTCTGGTCGCCCTATACTGATGTGTCGTTCGTCTCATCGACAAAAGATGGGAGTATGGAGAGCGAAAAACACTTTCATGACACCTCAGATAAAAAAAAAACCCTACAAAAGTACACACACGCACACATGAATGCATGGAATCTTCATTTCCTTTCTTTCTGCCTCATTATGTTTTCGTTCTCCTTGTGACAACTCGAACTAAACTCCCTCCCCCTACACGCACACAGGGAGACTGAAAAAATAAGGCACATGCTTGCCCGATATGATCCGTTTTGACAAATCGAAATAACCTAAAACAATCGAAATAACCTAAAACACTTTCTGATTACGTCAAGAAAGGCGGATGCAAATGATTGCACGATTCGCAAAATGTAACTCTTTGTATCGAGAGGTGCATTAAATCTCAGCCCGTTTTGAGCAGTGCAAGCTTGAAGAGGGAACCCAAGAACGCGATAATTAAGAAAGAAAGTTCATAATAACCACATCTTGTACGAGAAAAGTTCTCCCGTATTTCTGTCTGTGCGTAGCGACTGGCATTCCGCTTGTTTACCTTTTTTTCGGTCTCGATCACAGTGATTTAGACCACATGCTATGGAGGTGCCTGCCTTTAAGAGAAAAACCTCAAGAATCCTCTGAAAATGACTTTCATGCTATGCTCAAAAGCTCAGTCCTTCTACAACAGCTGTCCGGAAAGCCCACAAAGTGGCGGTAAGGGTAGGCCTACCCTTACCTACGTAGGAGCGGCCCGCGATCCGTCCCTATAAAACGGCGGTGGATTCTTTCAGGACCTCAACAAAGTTTCTAAAGCGACATCTCTAAATGGGTAGGAGAAACGAAAAAACGTTAAGCCTCGGTGTCACGAGCAGTCTCTACTGGCTGCAGCTATCAGTTGCGTCGTTCTCAGCGTCGTACTCAAGCACGCGCGTCATTGGCTGCTTTTGTGGGTGATGTCGTCCGACTTGTCGCATCCATGGCGCTGAGAACGCGCTCATCAGTTTCTACAGAGAGCTTCCACATGGGTAGGGAGACGCGGGCACTTCGCGAAGTGATCAGACGCAATGCTCATCGGCTCCATTGATTTTCGGCTGAAACCGTGCTCTTTTCAATGTGGCTGTTCTAAAACTTGTGCAACTGCATCTGCAAAGTAAGCAAGATTCTGGAGACACTCCAATCTTACCTAGGTACGCCCAATTTTCGGCCACTTCGAGCAACTTTGCATCACAACGTAGCGAACGAGCTAAGCCTCACGCTTTCATTAATGCTATAGTATTTGCTTTCATTAATAGATAATAATAATAGATAACGCTTTCATTAATGCTATAGTATTCCTTTATGTTGCCAGCTATGTTTCTGTGAATTAGGAACCCCACTCCCAGTTCTCTTCTGTCAGCCAAGCCCCGATAGCAAAGGACATGCCCATTTTGTAGCACCGTATAGGCCTCATCTGTCCTCCTAACCTCACTGAGCCTTATTATATCCCACTTAACACCCTCTAGCTCCTCTAACAGTACAGCTAGACTTCCCTCACTAGATAAGGTTCTAGCGTTAAACGTTGCCAAGTTCAGGTTCCAATGGTGGCCTGTCCGGATCCAGAGATTCTTAGCACCCTCTGCTGCGTTGCAGATCTGACCGCTGCCGTGGTCAGTTGCTTCGCAGCTGCTGGGGACTGAGGGCCGTGAGTTATTTGGCGTATGCATGTGGGAGGTAGTGGCCAGATACTGCACCAGGGTGGCCAATCCTTCTCTGGTGAGGGAGTGTGTTCCCGGCGGTGGTTACCGGTGATGCCGCACCCCAAGCCTCGTAATGCAGTTCTATCACCACGCGGATTTTTTTTTATCCGGTTGGGAACTGCGCGGCACCGGGATTTAAACCACGGACCTTTTGCATGCGAGGCGGATACTCTAACCACTACGCCATCGCTGCTTCGCTTTTTCAATACTTTCAATACTTTTTACTGGTCATAAAACTCCCCGGAAAGTTTCACCACACCGAACAATGAACACCGTGAAGGAAGTCGTGTCAGATGGCCACTTGATGGGTCTATCCAATAAAGAACTCTTGACAGGCTGGAACGACAAGAATTTTGACGAGGTGCAGCGCATAAAAATAAGATAAGGCAAAAAAGAAATTCCCACAAAACACCTTATACTTACTCTTGGATCTAGAACACTCCCCACCCATATAGCTATGGGCTATCTTAAACTACCAGTGAAACTGTATGTTCCAATCCCGCGGCGCTTCTTCAAAGGGGTGGTGCTGCCGAATTTCGAGGCTAAAAGAAGCTTGTTGTAGGTTTCCTTTGTCTGCTAGGGCACTACACGAATTGGCAGACACAGCAAAAGTTTCGAATATATATAAATTCACCTCTAAAGCGTACCTGACTGCTCGTTCTCCCAACCGAAGCCCATCGCAAGCACGTCCAGAACTGTCATAGCTCTGTAGGAAGGGAAACAAAAGTTGCAGTGACATCACACCAAATCTGTAGTAAGTGCAAGCGGGAGCTGGTTTGCCCTTCAGGGGGGACAAAGGTTTGTCCCAGTGCAACCCCTCCCTAGTTTGTGAATGTGTGGGGCTGTGTTTGCACTCCCTCTTACCACCCTCCCATGTGCATGCCTATTGTAGTGAGGTGAGGGACATCTGGAGACTTCCACTGCTACATACATATCCTCAAAGCATCATTTGTTTTGCAGGTGCTTGTGTCTGTGCGAGAGCAGACGATATTCAGCGTGATGGTTGCCACATTCTTGTGTGGTTACATGAACGAGTCACCCGCACTCCCACGTCACAGCCCAATTTGTTGCCCAGAAACCGAAACTTATCCACGCAAGAAAGGCAACCTTATTTTATTTAGCAAGAATAAATTTATCTTGGTGCATGTATCATGATTCCTGTAGCTATAAGAAACGTTTCCAGCAAAGAACGCGCAAGCCACAAATATGGTGGCACCACCCCTTTAAGTGCTGTGGTTCGGCCATGGCTCGCAGAACGGTCAAGGACAGCTTACCAGTGCGAAATATAACACCACAGGACTCTCCGCAGATGAAGAATTGAAATCCGAATTCTACTGCACCAACTTTGATGGTGATCGTACGGTATATTCCAGGTCCTGCATTGCCTGGAAGAGGGAAAAAGACATTGTCACAACGAAAATCGACTGAACATGAGCTTTTGTGAAGTGTGGCGGCGTGTTTCCGCTCCAAAAAAGACAAAACTGGCAAACAAACGAATGTGTACGTAGGATTTAGACTTTGCAACTTGTGACCTTGGTGACGTGTGAGCGGAAACAAACAAGGTGGTGAAATGGGCAGACAAAGATAGTTTCTGACTTAATCCTCAAATAAGCACGTTATTTTTTTAGCAAAAGAAACTTGTATCCCGATCGCCACATAGACCTACAGGGTCAATATCTATCTGTAAAAACTAGGCGTAAATTTTTAGGCTTAACTTCAAACATAAAGCTAAAGTTTGTTTCACACATCAAATATCTCAGAAACAAGTGTATAAAAACAATGTCGTAAAGGTCTTGTCATGTATATCATGGGGCAATGACAGGAAATATCCTTTAAACCTCTACAGCAGTCTCGTACATCAGTGTATCAGCCAGGAGGGTAAAGGTGGCGCGAGTCTCCCCCTTACTTTCGACACATGCCGCTCTTGTCTGCACGCTAGGGAACCAATAGTTCGGCGAAGTTTTTCGTCACAACAGTAATCACTGAATTATGTTCTTTCGGGAGAATGAAAATATTACGAGGCTGTGTTACAATATAGTAAAATATTGCCAAAATTTCCGCTGTGATAATTTTGCTTGTAGCTTATTTGCGGTGCAGGTTGCCTATTTGGCGCTTTGGAGTCTTGTGAAGTAGTATTGCAGAACAGGCAAGCACTGAACAGGGGCCCCATAGAATTGCATCTTTTGTTCATGCTTTTATACGGCTGTGACATGTTCATACAGTAACGGATGGGAACGAGCGAAGTTTTTAAAGACCCGTCAAAGCATTTGCTGCTTCCGGAAAATAATTTTCTTCAAAAAGGATATACAGTAAAATCTCGTTAATTCTAATTCCATGGGAACGCTGAGCAATTTCGAATTAAACAAAATTTGAAATAATGAAAGTGAGCGAAAATGGGTGGATTTCGGGGGTGGGGGCACGAAAGATATTTATTGGCCAAAAAAGTCGGGGATGACCATCTGCTTCTTTTCTCTGAATGCCACAGCTGCGGCTGTCTGTTCCAGCGCGCGGACGCGGCGCAGGGAATCCTCTTCACCCTCTTCAAAGCTGAAGAGACGCGACACATTAAGTGCCTCCATCACCGCAGAAGCTGACCGACGCACAGGCGCTTCGTCATTTTTGTCTCTTCACCTTCTGGCTCTTCAGCATCAGGCTGCGCACCGGCTACTTGAGCGATAATGTCCTCATCAGTCAGGGCACCACACAACGATGCACCAGTGTCAACTTCAACATAATCAGCAAAACGTATGTCCCGAAGAGTGTCGCGCAATGCCACGGGCATGAGCTCCTCAGCCCCATCTATGTCGACGTCACAACTATCCTGCGCACTTCCAGCTGCAAATCCACAGTGGGGGAAACAGTTTGCGATTGTGGTCGCAGTCACCTGTTCCCATGCGCGCACCAACATGTGCATGGCAGTGAGCAGCGTAATGCCGAAGTCCTTCCTGTCGCCCGCGTACAAAATCATTCTCTCCAGCACGTGACGCCTATAAAAGCACTTCATGTTCCTTATCACACCCTGGTCCATTGGCTGTAGGGCCGTAGTCGTATTTGCCGGAAGGAACACCAACTTAGTTGCTCTCAGCTCAACGTCGACTTTGTGCACCGAACAGTTGTCGACGACAAGAAGAACGCGTCTGCCGCCCAGTTCCATTCGCCTGTCGAATTTCAGTAGCCACTTCCTGAATAGGTCACCTGTCATCCAGGCTTTCTTGTTTACGGCGTACTCCGTCGGCAGTGAGCGAATGTTTTTGAAGCACTGTGGCTTGAGCGCTTTGCCAATCACAAAAAGGGGACCTTTTCCGTACCGGTCATATTTGCGGCGACCAGAACAGTGACACGCTCTTTGCTGCGCTTGCCGCCGGCACAGCTGTCTCCCTTGTAGGTGATCGTCTTGTCTGGCTGGAACTTGAAAAATAACGCTGTCTCATCAGCATTAAACACATCCTGTGGTGAGTAGCTCTCCAAGTAATGCTGCAGGGTGTCGCTTCTCCAAGTAGCGCATGTTTCGGCGCCCACTTCCTTTGCCTCGCCGGATAACGTGCGGAATACGAGATTGTGCCGCTTCCTGAAATTATGAAACCATCCCTCGGAGGCGACAAAGTCTTCAATGTCCAAGCGCAGGGCGAAATTGGCTGCCTTGACCACGATGATAGGGCCGCTCAATGCGATACTCTGGGCTCTCATTTCTTTAACCCAGATAATCAAAGCTGACTCCAGTTGCGGGAACTTCGCTGTCCTTAGCCTTTTTCGACTGGCGCCAAAATCCTCGGCTTCATAGGCGTTTTCAATGGCCGTCATGTTGCGTATGTAGGCTGACAATGTGCTCGGAGGTACGCCGTGCTTCCTCGCAATTTCGTATTTGCTCGAGTTCTCTTGGTCAACCTTTCGCAAAATCTCCACATTCTCCTTGACAGTCTTCGCGCAGTAGTTTCCCAGCAGCATCTTGCAACTTCGATGCGGAATAAGACGGCTTGACGGCGTGAACGAACAACGTGCTCGAGAAACAAAGTGACGCTGCCGGGAGCGGCCTAGGACTGCTAGGACTACTCTGCCGACTCCTCAGCGTCCCGTGGGTCCCGCGTACAAGTGGCGCCAGGCGCTGAGAGAGCCGGAGGGCTACGGAAAAAAAAATTGCTCCCTGGATTTTGGAGGCCATACTTTGCTTGCCCTTTGCTCGGAGACCACTTGAAGCTCGAAAAAACTGGTCGTGCCACCTATTGTTCGACCGTAAAAGCTTCCACTAGTGTTTGACGATGATGACGCTCGGCGTCGCGCGCTTCGAATTATCCGTAGAGGCAGCAATTCCTGTTCGAATTAACGAATCGTTTTACACATGGTCTCCTATGCACTGCGGACCGGTCTGCGGCGACCATTTCGAATTATCCAAAATTTCGAATTAATGAGGTGTGCATTAACGAGCTTTCACTGTATCATCACCGCTGCTCTTTCGAAGCTGTTGTGAGCTGATCAGTGTGACGAATCGTTGTTGATACTGAAGTTTTTTTGTAGTAAAATGCCAAGAACTGTTCCCGCTTCAGTCTGTGATAAACCTGACCAGCCTTGCTTATGGTAACTTGGAGTCGTAACGGCAGCTTACAAAGTGGCCATGAATAAAGCAGTGGACTCGAGCTAAGTCGGAAGCTCAGCTTTTGAGCTGAGCTTCCTACTCAGCTCAAGAGTCGGTGTGCGACTGGTTTCATACGCGCAAGCCTAGACTGTAGAGCCACAGTCTGCCACACCAAGCACGTTGAGAATCCTGGATCCTGTTCGTCATCTGGGCATTTCCCACTCTATGGGTGCATTTTGCACAAGCCATGTATAAAGCCTCTACGAAGAGTCGAACGAGTGGTCACTCCATGTTCAAAGATATTATATGTTTTTTTTTGTAATATATGAAAGTAAATGCAGATAAGGGACACCCACAAACTCCAGAATCAATGAATGTCCAGATCTATCCTTTTTGACGACTGTCCCTCGCTGAGGTGACCCTTCTCACTTGGTGTGAGGGGTATAGCTGCAGAAACCTGTGTGCCACTTCTTGAAAACTGCTTAATGGCTCCCGTTGCACATCTCCCACTGTGGCAGCGGCAGCTTATGGATTGTGATGTATAGATTGTAAAGTCACTAATCGTGTGCCTACTGCACATATCTGCACTCACTTCCTTGAACTCCAACACAAGTACACTTGCACAGAATTCTTTACAGATGCCTCAAAGGTCTGTATCGAAAGCAGCCATTGGTCCAACCTTTTTGGATTTTGGCACTCTTCATCCTAATACAGGCGTTTTCAGAGAAGCCTATGCAATACTTATGGCCATTAAACAATCAAAACAACAACATCCAATAATATACACCATGTCCCGAGTGCTTTTAACGCCTAAATATTGTCAAAACCTTGTCCTAGTTCCACTCTACTCACTTCAATGAACAGTATACACACTCAAAGAGCATATCATAGTATGCAGGGTTCCAGGACACGGCAATATTTAAGGCAACATGTTGGCCGACTGGCTAGCTGCATCTGTTCAAGAGAACACTGCCAATTTATCCATAGCTATCCTTGTGCTTGACCTAAAACTGTTTTTTAAACGAAAGCTCAGAGCTTATTGGCAGAGCACTTGAAATAGGCACACCCAAAATAAACTTTACGCTATCAAGCCATACCTTGGTAATTTGCCACCAGTATCGAAATCGCACTGCACACAAGTAACACTAACAAGGCTATGAATGGGACACTCACATACCACACATGCATACCTTTTGTCCGGTGATGATCCACCCAGGTGTGAGAGATTGGGAGAACCATTCACCGTACTTCACATCCTAATCCAGTGCAATGAAATGGAAGATATCAGAAAAAATCACTTTACATTACCCTACCAACATAAATTTCCATTGAATCGTGTTACGTTTATCGGTTCAGAGCCACTTTTTGTATCTCAGTCAACGTCTCTTTTTTTAAACGATGTACGTACGTACATACTTTGCATGCCATATACCCAGGGTATTCATAGCACAACCTCTGAACAGAGGTGGCTGCTGCAGTGACTGTTATAAAGAAAGCACCTATCTCGTGGCCCTTGGACTCTAAGGCATTGACGAGGCATTCGTGCTGATTCCATGTTTCCGTATTTCAGTTACCATGACCGCATGTCATTGATTTTCACAGCTCACATGTCACGTCGCTTCCATAACCATACTACTCATATCATTTACCCACCTTTTGGGCATAGAAATTAAGACCAATACAGCCTCTCAGGATCATCATTGTTCACAACTTCACATTCTCTGAATGTCATTATAAATAACTGATCATTGTCATTGTTACATCATCTTTCATGGCGCTCATCAGCCAAGCATGGCCCTTGCGTCGCTGAAATCCACACATCATCATCGTCTGCAACATCTTGCACCGTGGAGTGGCACTTGTCAGTGATGTCTCGTATTGCTTCGATAACATATTCATTATTACTTCAAATGTGTAGCGTTTCTATCCCTTTTTTGGAATTATTTAGAGTATCAGTGCTTTTGCATCTTTCTTTACTTGACATTCCTATCCTGTGACTTTATCAGGGAACGTGACAAAGACTGAAGCAGGTGAAGTATCGGTGACAGTATAAGCTACGACCAATATGGAATGGAGAGAATCTTTGATCAAGCATTGCAACTATCTGATATAGAGCATGTACTAATCATATTATAAAGCAAGGAAAAACACTGCAAGTGACATGGCATTGTTATAGTGTTATTTGCTACATATGCATAGTGTTCACGTGATGCCACAGACAGGTTCTCGGCCCTCAGTAACCAGACAGGGTAGTCACCGTGACTTTTTATATCATTACAGAAGGTCACTGCAGGGGAGGACACACAGTCCGATCCCCCAATTTTCTGTTCTCCACCCCCCCCCCATTTTTCTGTTTCCCAGCTGCGCCAAGAGTGAGCACAAAGGTGCAAATGAACGCATGGAGCACCGGCACTAATCTGATGTCACTATTTCTTGCTTGGAGCGTTGGAGCAAGAGTGCACATGGCATCTCAGCCGGCTGGTACCCGGACATGGAGGCCACAGTGATGTCAAAGCACACTATGTATTGCGCTTGGCATTGCTGCGAATGTTGCTTGGGACATTCTCGGGAAATCAAAAAGATTTAATTGTAAATGTAAACACCTTCTGTCTTCACACTGGTGCCATGGGGCACTTAGCCTCCTTAGTGCTTTTTTTTTTCTTCAATATTCTGGCACTTGATGAAGACTAGCCTATGCATTGATAGCCAGAAAGCGCATTTAACTCATGGCATTCAATTTTTTTTTGTGTTGGCTTGTTTCTCAGCCAGCACAACAAATATCTGTTACCCTAGCCATTGAAGCTTTACGTGCTTGACTCTCACATCCTGTCAGCCTAGTCATTTGCTTTGGTTAGTGTCCTTTGCAAGCATCATAACAAAGGCTGCATAGTATTGTAGAAACATGCATTTTAAATACTCTTCGGCTATCTTGTGTCCGTATCATGATACTTCCAACACATGATATATGAGTATCTGTATTTGTGATATATCGTAATTATAGTATCGTGCAAACTTGAATGTGAAATACACCTTTGGCGCGAGTGACTGACCCCCATATTCTAGGATGTCACACTACTTGATGCTCCACCTTGACTTGAGAATGTCGATAACAGCGCCAACTTTTAGCAAAAGTGATCACTGCATGTTAGTTGATTATTCGCAGGCATTTTCTAGGAGTGCTGCAACGTTTTAAAGGGGCCCTGCAACACTTTTCCGAGAAACCATTAAACAACTTCATTAGAGGAGTTTATTGCCTCACAAATTGACTAACACAAAAATTGTTAGAACCATTCAAGCATATGCTAAGTTAGAGGTTTGTCACACGCTGTCATTGATTTCTCCTTTCTCTTGTCTTGACAAGCACACTCAAAGCTAATCAAGGAGGGATAGCACAGGGAACTAAAACACATCACGTGCATGTCGTGACCTTAAGCATTGTTTCATTTGCTTTGAATGTGCAGATTACTTTCAGTCCGACTGCTGGCATGCATTGGCTTCTGATGCCTTTTTCAGTAACTATCAGCCAATGGCCTCAAATGTGGGTATATGGCATTATTTGTAGAAAGAAAAGGCAACCGTTTCTAGCATACTTTGAGAAATAGTTGTAAGTTTCAAGCCATATGCTGCATTGTATTGTTTTGCTTGCATGTTCTCAGGAGCCTCAACTACCAATCACCATTGTTTTTTGAACATGCATAAAAAGTGTTTCAGGGACACTTTAAGTGGAGCGCTTATGCTCTTTTCTACTAGGTCAAGAGAAGCACAACATTAGAGTTGAGGCATGTTTGAGAATACCATGGTGAGGCTTTATAAAAATTTGGGGCGCTTAAGTTTAACACAGAAGATCACACAGTCACAATGAATCAACTAGACTAACAACATGCAACGCTGAAGGACCATTCCCAGCCTTACAAAGGAGGGAAGGAAGTAAAGCTTAGCATAGCTATGTAAGTGTGCTATAGTAAGGTGGTGGGAAAGGAAGATAAGGGTGAGGAAAAGTGGTGTGAGGGGGAGGGTACAGCATAGTATAGTACTCCACATTGGCCTTTACGATGTTTAGGCATATAAAACCACACATAAATAGCAGTTTATTTATTTATTTAAATACCCTCAATGCCATTTGCGGCATTACAGAGAGGAGTGGTGTTACATTTCAGAAATGGCACTCTTGAATGATCCACGATCAGAGCCACTGGCGATGAAGGCAGGAAAGTGGTTGCATTCAGATGAAGTCTTGGGCATGTAGGAGTGGAAGTACATGTTGGTATGTCACAATGGCTCATGAACTTTGAAGTTGTGGTCGATGCGAGATGAAACATAAGAAGGTGGCAAGAACGTTGTGCATTTTGTTTCAAGATTCATGACGAAAATTTTGTAGATTTTTATGCAAGATCATGTTCAAAAGAGCTAGCTGCTAGCCTTAGTTCATATCACATTCTATACATTTTTTTGCCATTGTGGCAAAACCGTTAGTAGAGGATATGCGAAATTAAGTACGCCTACCTATGAGACTTGAAGAAGGAACGACAGAAACTGATACGCAAGAAGCCAATCAATGAGCTAGCACTGAGAGGAAAAGTACAAGAATTCAGAGTCTTCGTTCAGAACAAGTACTCAGCTCTTAGTGAGGAAACCAACCTTAGCATAGATACAATGATTGATAATATCACGAGTATCATTACGGAGTGCGCAGTGGAAGTTGGAGGCAGGGCAGTTAGACAGGACACTAGCAAGCTTTCCCAGGAAACGAAGAATCTCATTAGGAAGTGTCGAATCATGAAAGTCTCAAGTACAACAAACAAAATAGAACTGGCACAGCTTTCGAAGTTGATTAATAGGCGTAAGGTATGTGATGTAAGAAGGTATAACATGGAGAGAATTGAACAAGCTCTGGAAAACGGAGGAAGCGTCAAAGCGGTGAAGAGGAAACTTGGGATAGGGAGAAATCGGAAGTATGCACTAAGGGACAGAGAAGGCAAAATAACTACCAATATGGATAGGATAGCTAAAATAGCGGAGGAGTTTTACAGAGATCTGTACAGAAGCCGGGACAACCATGACCTTAATGCTATAGGAACTTGCAGTAACCCAGATGAAACCCCACCAGTAACGATAGAAGTCAGAAAAGCTTTGGAGAGCATGCAAAGAGGCAAAGCTGCTGGTGAGGATCAGGTAACATCAGATCTGCTGAAATTGGAGGACAGATTGTGTTAGAAAAACTAGCTACTCTGTTTACGAGGTGTCTCCTGACGGGAAGAGTACCAGAGTCTTGGAAGAATGCTAACATCATCTTAATACATAAGAAAGGAGATGACAAGGACTTGAAGAATTACAGGCCGATCAGCTTGCTCTCTGTAGTATACAAGTTATTTACAAAGGTAATTGCTAACAGAGTGAAGAAAACTTTAGAATTCAATTAACCAAAGGAACAAGCAGGATTTCTAACAGGCTACTCAACAATCGGTCACATTCATACTATCAATCAGGTGATAGAGAAATGCTCAGAATATAACCAATCACTATACATAGCCTTCATAGCTTACGATAAGGCATTTGATTCAGTAGAAATATCAGCCGTCATGCAGACACTGCGGAATCAGGGCGTCGATGAAGTATATATAAACATCCTGGAAGAAATCTACAGGGGATCATCTGCTACCATAGTGCTTCATAAAGAAAGCAACAGAATACCAATCAAGAAGGGTGTAAGGCAGGGGGACACAATCTCTCCAATGCTATTTACTGCGTGCTTACAGGAGATTTTCAGAAGCCTAGAATGGGAACAGTTAGGGATAAAAGTAATTGAGAGTACCTTAGTAACCTGCGCTTCGCCGATGACATTGCATTTCTGAGTAACTCAGGGGACGAATAGCAACTCATGATTACGGAGTTAGACAAGGAGAGCTGAAAGGTGGGTCTTAAAATTAATCTGCAGAAAACGAAAGTAATGTACAACAACCTCGGAAAGGAGCAGCGCTTTGAGATAGGTAATAGTGCACTTCAAGTTGTAAAAGACTATGTTTACTTAGGGCAGGTAATAACAGCAGAGCCGAACCACGAGACTGAAGTAACTAGAAGAATAAGAATGGGGTGGAGCACATTTGGCAAGCACTCTCAAATTATGACAGGTAGATTGCCACTATCCCTCAAGAGGAAGGTATATAACAGCTGTATCTTGCCGGTACTTAGCTACGGAGCAGAAACCTGGAGACTTACAAAGAAGGTTCAGCCTAAATTGAGGACGACGCAGCGAGCAACGGAAAGAAAAATGGTAGGTGTAACCTTAAGAGACAAGAAGAGAGCAGAGTGGATTAGGGAACGAACGGGGGTTAAGGATATCATAGTTGAAATCAAGAAGAGGAAATGGACATGGGCCGGGCATGTAGCGCGTAGACAGGATAACCGCTGGTCGTTAAGGGTAACTAACTGGATTCCCAGAGAAGGCAAGCTGGTTAAGGGGAGACAGAAGGTTAGGTAGGCAGATGAGATTAATAAATTTGCAAGTATAAATTGGCAGCAGCAAGCGCAGGACCGAGTTAACTAGCGGAAAATGGGAGAGGCCTTTGTCCTGCAGTGGACGTAGTCACGCTGATGATGATGGTGATGACTTATGAGAGAGTGATAAATTAGGCTAGATGTTGATTGTTCCCATTGTAGAGTGGTGATGTACAGGTGGAGATGAATGCTAGAAGGGAACTGTGTTAACATCTTCTCTCTTTTCTTATTCTTGTGTGTAGTACAAAAAAAAAGTATGAATGTCAGAGAAGTTTGCTAGCAAGCGACTGCAAACTTGAAATAGCCTCAGCAACGAAAATTCAACGAAACCATTAATGTCGCAGGGCAGGCTTGTTGGTTAAGCATATCTCGATAACAATGGTATCACAAATAAGACACAAGGCAGCAAAAATATGCACAGTAGCAATGTGTGTATTTTTACTGCCTTCTTGTGTCTTGTTTCTTTCTGCTACAATTGTTATCCAATGAAACTGCATTGAGGAATTCCCTAATGCATTGAAGTATCTTAATATATGAATGCCAAATATTTGATTGGATATATTTATTTTGCTGGCATCTTGTATCTATAAGAATAGAAAAGACTCTCCAGCCAAACTTGGTTTTTAGTTTTAAAATTATAAAAAAACTGGCGCTATGTTTTGAGACTGATTCGGTCTCTTCTTCAGGGGGGTAATTGTCTGGCTGGTTCTGAAGCTAGCACCTCTTAGTGGTGCCTCCCTCTTCATTATCAATGTCTGCTTTTGTCAATGAGTTGTCAGCTCCTTTGGCTCGGGAGACCATGTAACTAAACACTCGGCGAGAGCTCTTGTCGGTGTCAGAAAATGGCGTAGGGTGAGCCCAGTCAGCCAGAGCTGCACTGTCGTCGGAGATCGCGAGGGCATGACTGGTCGGCACGAAATCCAGCGAGTGCAGTGACCACGCCTGTATATTGAACGTGTTTTTGAACGTGTATGGACGTAACCCTCGAAGGTTGTGTGCGACACGTGATTGGACAGTGCCATCTGCATGCATTCTCTGATCTAGGCATCTGGGGAAGAAGTACACTTTATAACGAGCCGCCCGGCTCATTAGAGGGGCGCACACGTTCGAGAGCTTGCAATGTACGAATGGGCCCGAAACTAAACTTCCCCCTCGTATGACCCTGGGGAATAAGGCATGGAGTGCGGAACACAAAGGTCGGTGGTTTTCGCAAATTGACAGGAACAGATGCCGGGAAGTCTGCTTCGAGAAACATCGCGGGGTTCGGTAGCAAATAGATTAACCGCTTGATGAGAAAAATCTTCCCGGCGCGACCACCGCGAGTTCGACTGAAAGTTGATGAAAACAGCTGTTAGCTTCTCAGAAAATGTCGACTCGTGACTGTTGAAAAGTATTTTGTTTGTTTGCTTGAGAGATAAAAGTGTTTTCTTTTTGCAATCTCCTTTACTGTACTTAAGCGATCCAGCTAAGTGACGGGCTCTGTCACCGTAATGCAATGACTACAGTTAGGGTAGTCTACGTAATGGTAAAAATGAGGAGGGCCCATAGCGATAAATTTGTAGTTGTTTCAGATGCGACTGCCTAGCTGTTTGGAGGCACAGTGAGGCGACGCGCAGTTGGGGAAGCGGTCGTGCTGCAGGTCATCAGTTCGAAGCCCATTTTTAAATTTTTTTATTTTTAAAGTAATGCATCACTATTTACATTACTAATTTCAAGGAGTCATAATTTTGCTTTTTTGCAAAAAAAATCACATCGCTCTTTGTGCCGGTTTTAGCCCTACCACGTAAATTTTTCGGGGTGCAGTTGTTGGTGTGCAACATGATGCGATAATGGCGTGAGACTTGGGTTTGAGTTGCGCTGACCAACTAAACTTTTCTCTTTCTTTTCTGCTTTCAATATTGTTTTGAGTAATGTTGCCTATTTTAAAGGCAGCATCCTACAGTGGAGTGATGGGAGGAGCCGCTGGCGAGCGAGAACTTAGACAATCAGCTGAGTCGAGGTTCTCGCTGACGGACCCGGCTCGCTGAGTGGCAGCTGCCGCAGAGCCCTGGTCCGAGCTCACCCCCACCGTGAAATCTACTGCAGTAATGCAAGTGTAGCGAGTTTTCACTGCCACCAATAAAAACGCAGACACAGACACTACCACATCGAGGCAATTAATACAGTGCCATAATGATGTAATGATGAGGTGGCCCGCTTTAACAATGCTGCCTATAGTGGTGGGCCTCCACATAGTGCTGTTGTTTGTGCTCTTACAGAAGTGATTGAAGATGTTTTTATTTGTTTTTTTTCTTCACTGCTGCACGAGGTGACTGCGTTTGAGCTCCCTACAACTACCTTGCCTTATCGTAGGATACATCGACGCAGCTATATGATCGTTCATTCTTAGGTATTCATTTCGTTGACTTGATCACACCTTGTGGTTTACCCAAGCCTGCAACCGTACTTGCCAGCATTTGCAAATTAAAGCATTCAGACGATCGGTCACGCCCATGACTTCGGCAAGCTCTCATTATAATCACCGAGATCGATATGGAACACGTTTAGCTCTCATAGGACAAGCGGGCTCTCGGGATTGGAAGACAGCTACAGAGAGCTCACCACCGTGCAAGTATATACTGCACCGTTTAGAGCTCGAATGTCTATCTGCGTTTGCATAGCAATAGCACACATTCAAGGGACTAAAGTGATGTCCAAATCTCCTTGTTATAAGGAGCCGATTCGATCACATGATTGACTCTGTGTGTGCAATTTCAGGCGAAGTAGGCCCAATGTCGGAGCTACATGTATTGTAGTCATATGTATTGTGATTTTGGGACTCATTAAAACATACTGTGCAACTACACAGCCCTCAGGGTTGGAACACATTTTACGTTGAGCTGCACTATCTTTTGGCATCAGCCCATACATTGCCTTTATACAGCAACACGAAAAATATGCGGAACGAATTGATTTACGAACATCACATTATGGAAAACAAATTATTGGTTGGAGCTACGGTATCAATGCTAAGGAACGAAAACCTCGCCAGGGTTGTTGTTCAATCTGATAATATCTCTCTGCTCGCCCTGCATAGTACCAAATGGAAATCACCGGGAAAGGTGTTTATTATACGTTGGACATAAAATAAAGTTGATAGTTATATTCCCAATAGATTAAGACGATTATCTTTTAAAAACAAGTAGCAATACTTGAAACAATACTGAAAGAAGAAGATAAAAAAGAGCCCGATTCGGAGCGACGTCGGACACCAACGTCACTGCACCACGAAATCTACATGGTAGGGCTGGCTAACAACTGTCGCAGACAGCGACATAATTTTCTTGCAGCATTACCTTGGGAAAAAAAGGGGGGGGGGGGGAGTAATACGTTTGAAAAAGGAAATTCGAACTGACGACCTGCGTCACGACCGCTTCCCCGACGATAGTACTGCGTTGACAGGCCCCATCCCCATAATCACCAATGTGGTTATGTCTTCAGAAGTCAAGTTACACCCATGGATGCATGCATCTTGGTGCTGATTGGATAGCGCAAGTCTCATTCTCACTGCAGCGATGAGCTAAAGCAGCTACACTTGCCAGATGCCTTATATGCCTCGCATAATGTTCCAGCTTTACAAGACACTAATCGCTAGATTTCAGGCACACAATTATGCTAAGGCAATTTATGGTATGCGCACTAGAAATATGAGAGGGAAAGAGGGGCCAAAACAACACGTGCACGCAATCGCCACCAACAAACGTGCATCAATGAGTTAGTACTGACATGCATCATGCAGGAAAGAGAACATGACCATGTACTTACATTGCTGGGTGGCCCTTGGTCTAACAGGTGGTGCATGAAAGCACATCAGTCTCTTTTCACTCGGCCGCTGTGTGACAGTGTTCATAGCAACGAGAGCACATTCGTTTGGGACATCGTGCACCATCATGACCCATGTCCGAGCAGCAGAAACACACTTTGAACTGAAAAACACACCGCTGTATTATTTCCCACTACAACTGTGCATATTACATGTCAAGGAAGGATGAAAATTATCAGAAGGGCAACATAGTACTGTGGCTGAAAATGGACATGCTGCTATAGTTATAGCACCAGCAGAATGACTGGTGATGCCGGAGAACAAGACGTGTTTAAGCAGTTCACAATGTGTCGGAAAAATAAACCAATTAAAACTGGTGTGCCATGAGAAAAAGTTACAATTCTTCTGGCTAAATCTACCACAAGCCACTAGTTAGAAGTTACATTTACCTACCATAATTACTGATGTAAAAATTAGCTCCCCCACCAAAAAAATAATCTGATAATTTCTATCCTGGCCAGTCGTAATGAACAAACTAGGCAACTGAGCCAAGGCTTCAGCAAGTACTTTTCCTGAAGTATTTGGCTATAGCAACACACATCATTCACAACTCAAGATTCTCCTAGTCCAACAACAAAAAATGCCAACAGCTCAATAAACACAGAGGTGTGCATAATATCACTACTTTTGTGATTACCGTTAAAAATGAGGTAACTAGTATTAATGATAAATTTTTTCTGTGTATACCATGACATTTAAAAATGCTCTACAGAAAAAACAATCCCTCAGTTTGCCAATTTCGGGCTTATATATTTCATACCTGCATAGACACTATGAACTGTTCTTATATGCGTAAGCACTGTACTTCGTATTTTGTTCTGAAAAATCGCTGAATGTGAAAACCCCAATTCGCAAGACACTTCTTTTTTTTCCTTCTTCCATTTAGCACATTCAAAACCTTTCTGGCAACTTCTCCACATAAATCATAACCGCAGACTTTGCATCAGTTGTCCATGAAAGAAAGAGCAAGCGTTATTATGGCAGTGCAAATCTGTTTTATGAAGGGGTTTTCATACTTGGTCTTCAGCTACCCACTACAAGCAGGATACAATAATGGACATCATCTTGTGAGAGAAACAACACGTAGTTGAGACATATCATGCATGCAAGGGGGAAAAATTTTGTGCAAAGCCCATTCTGGTTGCAGAAATTATTGCCAAAAATGAAAGGCAGAGAGAGTTGATAAAACTCATCCATTGCATACATCTTACGATTGGTGATTAATTGATTGATATGTGGGGTTTAACGTCCCAAAACCACCATATGATTATGAGAGACGCCATAGTGAAGGGCTCCGAAAAATTTTGACCACCTGGGTTCTTTAACGTGCACCCAAATCAGAGCACACGGGCCTACAGCATTTGCGCCTCCATTCAATTCGATCCCACGACCTCTGGGTCAGCAGCCGAGTACCTTAGCCACTAGACCAGCGTGGCGGGGCATTGCGTACAGCTCACATCAAGCAAAATATTCATAAACCTAGATATTTCTTAAGTAAATAATATGCAATTTATTTTATGCAATTTTCGCACACTCAGTTTGATTTTCATAGACATTTGTTCTATAGTTTCATGGCAAACTGAGAGCGAGGAAATCAATTTTAATTACCAAATAGCCCACCTATGGATCCTTTCCTGATTTTTTCTTTGTCGTCTTTGTTGTTGAGCAGATGTCCAAAAACCCAAACGACTAGCTTTAGTACACACAAGAATGTTCAGCAATAAATGTTACCAATTGGCAATGTTTGCACTTCTGCTTTTGCTCCTCTGTTAGCATCCTTCTCCCATGATGTCTGCTATGTAGTGACTAACACCAAACCACTGCACTGCCACAAAATTGCACTTGGCACCTTCGGGTAAAAAAACCAAGTATACTCAAGAACCAAACAGTTGATCGTTCATTTAGCCCTCGTCATATCAAAACGAAACCTACAGAAAATGCTAGTTAACTAGCTTCTGAGTAGATGGTATAAGAAGTCGACAGATGTTGCGCAATATCAGATTATCCCATGCATATCCAGGGGTGGGTGTGACCACCCCTGTGTAGTGAGACAAGTATACAAGTATCAGATAGGTAACTGGGCAAATTGACGTGCTTCCATTTTGAACCCGTAAACAGCGTGAAAGAAAATGTGGATGAGCAGAGGAATGACAGACGATATTGCTGACTCACAAAATTTCATTTCAATACGAAACAATAAATGGCATTGGAAAGAGCATTATGCATGCGAAGGGTAACATATATAATCATTACACAAGCAAGAGGTAACACAAATTAGCAAAAAAAGCCCAAAAGATTGATTAGACATGAATATAATGCAAATTATTTGAAAATATGCTTTGTTTCAAAATAAAATTTTAGTTTGAGTCAGTGCTGTTGTCTGTTGTTGTTCTTCTGCTTATCAATATTTTCTTCCTACTGTTTATTCATTCAAGAAGTATACAAGCAGCCAGTTAAAGCTTACCTTCTTTTTGCGACAAAACTTAGCTACATGCCCCATTTGATCACACTTTCTACAGTGGGCTTTCTCTTTGTTGTAGTATCGGAAGGCTCGGCTGTTGCGGTAGAGGTCCTCAGCGTCCACATGCCACAGGCCAGCTGCAAGAAAAATATGCACTGTATGTGTGGCGCATTAAATCATTTCGTTATCACGTCTATTCAAATCGATCACATGTGTATGAACATTTTTGACATCGTAGATTTTGGCATGTTAAATTTGTTTCTCGTGCACCCAGCACTTTCTAGTAGTTAGTCCAGCCACTCAACTTTCAGAATCAATTTGAATTTTCCCGCTTTGGCAACATCTTGATTTTGACAGACTTTCGCTCGAAGAAATGTTGCGTGTATTGTTGGAAAAGTGCACTAGGCTGAAGAACACCCAGAAGTGTGTGCTCCTTGTAGTTATGATCCAGTAATATCAAATTCTGTAATGAAAAAAACCTTTGCAATCCAATACCAAATTAAAGTGTCAGCTTCGCAATTTGAATATATTTAGAAGCAATCATTGCCAGAAATTTATGCCAGCTATTCAATAGAGAGCTGCTCCTAGGTAAAGAAAACTTTGTTCTACAATATATATTTACAAGGTCTGCCGCATGTTCAAAGTGTTGACGTGGCCTTCTCTGATAGTTTTCAACAGCTTTGGTTTTGCTTGCATCGTTATATCAGGCACACGGTCGCATTAGTGCCACCAGTTTCTCCTATTACGTTGTCGTCATGCACATGGGTGCACACCAGCGCTGCATGAAATTGTCTTGCAACACCACCTGAAATGAGTGAGTATGAGCTTAGGGTTTGAAATTGACAGCACCTCAGCTTCAAGTTTTATTTCGACGATGTTTTGTGCGTCAGCCTGAGACATCCGCAGTCGTTCATGGGTTTGTTTTGTTTACATCCTCAAGTTGTCTCCTCCGCCGCAAGTGCGTATAGCTTCTGACTTATGTGCACATTCTTTTAGTTACTCTGGTTACGTGTGTGGTTCACGCTTTGCTTGAGCTCGGTGTTCTGGCACTGGCTGCAGAGTTTCTCCTAATGACAAGAAGGCCCCTGGAGCATATCTTGGCGCTGACTACGAAGCAGTGCGAAAAGTTTTGAAACGCCAGCTTATAGAACCCCAACCTACGTGGAGTGGAGTAGCTCATGGAAAGGGATGATGCTAGATGAAATCGCGAAGTTCATTGCACATCTCGTATATAGAGGGATCATTCACATCACGGGTATCCATCTATATTGGAACACCTAGAGACTCTTGTCACAAGAAGTCAAAATTACTGAGAAAAGCGTACGAGTACACTTGTACCTCACGAAAAACCATGCACTGCTTCGCCTCACGGCACGAGCAACGAAGTTCTGATTTTTTCGTCTATGTGAAGAGAAACATTTTGTACAACAATCAATATTTTTTACACTGTTTCTGGGTCATTATCTAAGAATGTATATTCTGAATCTTCTTTGTTTTGAATATTTTTGTATATAGCATTCTTATTGTACTGTTTACCAGCTGGCCACCGAAAATTTCACACTTTTCACATTTTGATTCATTCTAAATATTTTTGTTGCTCTACAACATATGTTTTTCAGAAAGAGCATTTATTGCGCAAAGCTTGGTATGTCGCAATGTATGCTAGAGTGCTTTTCAAACAGGCAAAAATGGCTTTCCCGAGACATATGAAAAACAACCATTTTCGCACAGTAACGAAAGAGTTGAAGACCTTAAACATTTTCTCCTCTCAACAACTAATCATCAACAGCAGCACAACTACCTGGCACTGCTTCGAAATTTCCCAGTATTCTGTGGTAGGTGCTCTCATACCTGCAACACTATTTTGGTAACCTGACCACATGCCTATCAGTGGTTCACCAGCCTATTCCCATAATGAGTGCCATATAAACCATTACCAACATGACACAAGAAGTAAAGTAAGAGTTGTAAACAGACAATTGGATAGTTAACTGTTTCTTATTATTCATATCACCTCAATGTCAGTCATAATGAACAGGATTACCAAGGATACATTGCAATTTACATTTTTTTTTCCATTTTCTTATGCTGAGTTCTGCAGTTTTGACAGAGGGCAGGGATTCGTGGGGTGATCTGGGACGACCAGGCCAGTCAGAACAAATGCCTCGATGATGGAAAGCCATGCGGAGACCCTACCACAAAAGCCTCGCTTCCCAGCTGGGAAGGACAATACATGGTGGACATAGGCCACCAGCCGTTCGGCGACCTGTTTGAGAATCAAAAAAAGGCCACTCCCTCGTAAACCCAGGTGCCAGACGCAAGAGCTCGTCTGCCAGCGGGATACTCGACTTGAGGATGACCAGCTGCACAGGTTGGCTGAAGTGTCATGGTGTGGTAGCGTCTTCCAGGCCCCTACTGATGTCACCCAGCCAAGGACTCTTTTCCGCTCGTTTTTAGTGGCTCTCTTCTGGAAATAAGCATACACACCACAGGCACGGGAAAGGGCCCTGCCAGCACTGAGACATATCGAGTCCAAAAAATCTTCTAACACAACCTTCCTTAGTAGTATTACCAAACACAAAGCAGCAATCCGAACGTTTCTCTTAGCTTTCGCCGAAGCTCTCAATCCCGATTCGCGAATAATGTTCCTATTAAACTGCTTTCGAGAAAATGAACTCCCAAGTGATGCGCTCTCCATGGCATACTTTTGTGCCAACATCAGTAATCCACTGTGAATTAACCAGGCCTCATACTGTCACGGGCTAAGTAGATGCCTGAGGATGACGACGACGAAGTGCTGAACGGGAACGTGCTCGGACCCTGCAGACAGCGTTGTACGCATTTGCTCGCCAGTATATTCGCCAGTACGCGTTTGCTCGCCAGTGTATACTTTATTCCCTGTAACATCATTGGTGGAAGGTGTGGGTTACCACTCGCTACACAGCCCAACGAGCTGGATCTTCGCAGCGGACGGCGCATTGCAGCTACCACGATGACTGACCAGGCTACTCAATGTCAACAAGATCCGTCAGCCCCGCAGCCGACCGTTGTGGTGCAACCTCGTGACCCAGGCCCATTCAACGGCACAAGTGACATAGACGTCGATGACTGGCTGGTTCTATATGAGCGCGTCAGCAGCAGCAACCATTGGGATACGACGCTTATGTTGGCGAACATCATCTTCTACTTGCCATGGCACAGCCAAACTCTGGTACGAGACACATCAAGAAGAGTTGACTAGCTGGGACGTCTGTAAGCAGAAATTGCGCTATCTATTTGGCAAACCCCATCGGACGTCAAGTGGCCGCAAAGAAAGAGCTTGCGACTCGTGCCCAGACATCCACAGAGCCGTACATCGCGTACATCCAGCATGTGTTGGCTTTGTGCCGCAAGGTCGACAAGGACATGCTCGACGAGGACAAAGTCGGACACATCCTGAAAGGAATTGCCGATGATGCCTTCAATTTTCTCCTGTGCAAGGACCTGCTCGACGGTGGAGTCAGTCATCGAAGCATGTCGTTCGCTTTGAACAGGCGAAAAGTAGGCGCATAGTTCACCGATTTGACCGCCTTCCCAACACGGCGGCTACGTCCTCTTGCGAAGATTTGCCCACACTACATCAACCACCAGCGCCGGAAAACGTCACCAGAATAGTCCGTCGGGAACTCGAGGCTATGGCACCCGCTATGTCTAGCGTCAGCGCACCAGGACACAACCTCGATGCTGTTTCAATGATACAGGCCGTGGTTCACCAAGAGATCGCAAATATGGGCATTTCGCCACCTCATCAAAATGCCCCTGCTACTTCGAGCTTGGCTCCAGTCGTTGCGGCTGCCACTCCGAACCACACGTTCGCGCCACGACGAAACCCAGCTGAATGGCGCACTTATGATAATCGGCCCATATGTTTGACGTGCCATCGGATAGGACACATCGCTCGCCATTGCCGCAGCCGTTGGACCTCATCACCTTGACCGAGCTTCTATGATTGGGGGCCTCGCTCCGAACGTGCACCTTATGCCCGTCCTACCGTGCTGAGACAGGTGCAGAGCATAATCCAGAACGTCGGACCAGCGCTCGCCATCGCCCGTGCGTCGTCAGTCCCGCTCGCCGCCCCAACCCCGCGTTCTCGGTCTCCCTACGACCGGGTCGCTCGGGAAACTAACCGGTGCAGCCCCCGGAGGTGACGCTGCATACACGACTCGCACTGCAAATCCTCTGATACTCCCGACCAGCGGTGACAACCTTCTTACAATTCTCATTGATGGTTACCTGTAACTGCTCTTATTGATACCGGTGCACAAATATCTGTGATGAGCTCAGACCTCCGTCGCCGCCTCCAAAAGTTCTGACGCCTGCGATTGCACCTACCGGTTCGTACAGCGGATGGATGTACTCTGCTGTGCTTGGAATGTGCACTGCGCGATTAACGATTTCTGAGCATCAAACTTCAGTTCTGTCGCTGTACTGGAAAATTGCCCTCATGACCTCATCCTTGGACTCGAACTTTCTGACTTCACACCGCTGCGCTCATTGACTGATCCAAAGGTCTTCTTCGGCTCGAACTACCAACCTTTTCAGAGACCGTCTCTACCAGCCCACCTCATCTACGCTCTGTCGATTTCCTCAGACTTCCACCGCAAGCCGCAGTCCAAGTCCAACTCTCGCCATATCCTCCAGTACCCGATGGTGATTATGTTGCAGCCCCAATTTCTGACGTTGCCATGACACGTAATGTTGCACTCTCAACACGGTGGTTACCGTTAAAGACAACCGAACTTCATTTCCCGTCCTCAATTTTGGCTTCTCAGCGCAAGTTATTCCTCGCGGAATATCACTTGCTCATTTGACACCACTGGTCGACCACACAGTTTCCGCCCTAACCACCGATTCGCCACCCCGATTTTTTATCAACGTCGCTCTCGTCACATTCTGTTCCGACCCTTTCAAGCCAATGCTATCTGACAAGCTCACCTCTGAACAAGTCTCTGCTTTCTCCCGTGTGCTTGCTTCTTATCAGGACATCTTTGACTCGGCGACCGTAATTTGGGCCCGAATCCGTGGTAACCCATCGCATCGACACCGGTGACGCTCGACCCATTCGCCGACGACCCTACCGTGTGTCAGCCCCGGAGCGTGCTA